TCGTTGTTGTTCGTTTTCAAAAGTTTCTTCGACTTTGTGAGGTTGCTTGGGGCTCTAATCGGCTCTTCTAAAAGAAATTTCAAAGGTTTTTATCTTGTAAGGATCCATACTTTGGCTTAGTCTCGTTTTAGTTGTTTCTTCTCTTTCTTTAACTTTTGATTTCTAGGGTTTTTCATAGCTAATGTCGATATTTTGTTATGTTTTATTGTAGGCTTCTGAGATTCAATCACATTTTCTGTGGCAACTAATTCTAGTCGTTAGCTTGGGGCTTTATGGTTTTTAGATAGTGTTGGTGATGATGCACAAAACTGGTCTCGTGCAAGATCAACAGTCAAGTACATGAACTGGTGTAATCAATGACAAAACAGTAAATAAGAGCAAACACACAGAGACTTATAGTGGTTCGGTGTATGTGACCTACTATACTTTTAGGAATGACAGCGGTGGCTGGAGATTTTTATTGATGAATGATGTAACCGGGAGAGTACGCTCCAGTAGAATTACAATAGTTAGCAGAGAGAAGCAATGTGTGTAGGGATCTCAAATTATAGAGATCTCAAGGTCATGCCCTCTATGTGAAGAGGGCTTACATTATATAGGTATGGTGAAGTGGTGAGGTGAGGCGGTCACTACTTTTTAGTAAGTACAATTAAGGTAGAATTAGATCTCCATGAATGTGTATCCCGATATTCTCTCTCATGTGCTCCTATTCCTTCGGGCTTCTTGGATCCGAAACTGAATCGAAATGGCAAAGTGAGAAGGGAGACCATAGAGGCGGCGCCCATATGAGGAAGGGAGAGCGTGGAATGAAGGAGAGCCAGGAGGGTCCCTATGGGCGGCGCCAAGGGCTTGGGCGGCTCCTTTGGGCGCTGGTGGTTTGAGCCTTATTAATCCATTGAGTTTGGCCCTGTTGATTTTGGGCTCATCAGTTGGTATACAGTGATTTTTTGGTTTGAGGGCTGGAAAAAGTTCAAAATCAGTGATCAGGATAGTTGAAGTTGGTAGGTTGTCTCTTAAGTTCGGTTCGCCTGTATTTTCACTAGGATTGGTTTATCTTACTCGAGTTTGTTGCTAAACCAACCGTGTGAAGTCCTTTGCAAAATTATAGTCACGAAACTCTCTCAATTCTCTCTAGAACAGGAGCCTTTGTTCCACAGTTCCATCATGATTGGAACCATTTAGACTCCATTACTATTTGCTTTCACTTAGATACATTCACTTATAGACTCTATATTTCGTTTGCTTTTCTGGGTTTTAAGCTTTTATATGGAAGCATAAGAAGGGCATTTGAGGATTGGAAATATGAAAAGGCTGTTCGGTGCTTTAGCTTTGTTGTTCTTAGCTCCGATTTTGGCGAGATCTTTGAATCCTTCTTTGAATGATGATGTTCTGGGGTTGATTGTGTTCAAAGCTGACATTCAAGATCCAGAAGGAAGATTGGTGTCTTGGAATGAAGAGGATGATAGTCCTTGTAATTTGAATGGAGTCAAATGCAATCCAAGATCCAACAGGGTCTTCGATGGGTTCTCACTATCGGGAAAAATAGGCCGAGGTCTCCTCCAACTGCACTTTCTCCGAAAGCTTTCGCTTGCTAAGAACAATCTTACAGGAAGCATAAGCCTCAGTCTTGCACAACTCACAAACCTAAGGGTCATAGACTTGAGTGAGAACAGTCTATCTGGAACTGTCCCGGATGACTTTTTCACACAATGTGGGTCATTAAGGTCTATATCTTTGGCCAATAACAAGTTTTCCGGCCAAATTTCAGAAAATTTGAGCTCATGTCCAACCCTTGCTTCAGTTAACTTTTCCTCCAATCAGTTTTCGGGTTTGTTGCCTTCTGGGATCTGGTCTTCACATGGTCTTAGATCGCTTGATTTGTTTGATAGTTTGCTAGAGGGTGAGATGCCCAAGGGTCTTGAAGGTTCAAACAACTTGAGAACAATAAATTTGAGGAAAAACCAGTTTACAGGACAGATTCCGGATGGGATTGGAGGGTTTTTGCTGTTGAGATCAGTTGATTTGAGTGAGAATTTACTTTCTGGGAGCCTTCCCAATACCATGCAGAAGCTTAAATTGTGTAATGATCTAAATTTGCGAAAAAATTCGTTTATGGGTGAAGTTCCTCAATGGATTGGAGAAATGAGAAGCCTAGAGACTCTGGATCTTTCTGAAAATAGCTTCTCCGGCCAGTTTCCAAATTCAATTGGGAAGCTTAAGTCCTTGAAGGTACTAAACATTTCCATGAATGCTTTTACTGGAAGCTTGCCAGAATCTATGATCAATTGCGAAAACCTACTCCCTTTGGATGCAAGTCAGAATTTGTTGACTGGTAATGTTCCTTCTTAGCTATTTAAATTGGGTTTACAGAAAGTTCTGTTTTCGGAGAATGGGACGAGATGGGGCTTTTGCTTCATCAATTGAAACTCGCTTATAAAGCTTCAAGTTTTGGATATATCCCACAATGCGCTATCTGGTGAAATTCCATCTTCTGTTGGGGATTTTAGCAGCTTGCAATTCTTAAATTTGTCTAGGAATTCACTAACAGGTGGTATCCCATCAAGTATTGGAGAATTGAAGGCCTTGGATATTCTGGATTTAAGAGAGAATCGGTTGCTTGAGAGCATTCCTTTGGAAATTGGGGGAGCTACATCTCTGAAGGAATTGAGACTACACAAGAACTCAATAGGGGGGAAAATTCCAACTTCAATTGAGATATAATTTCACCAGACCTCTTAAAGTGGCAATTTTGCACTTCGATTCTTGAGATTGTGCGATATTATACACAAAAACATTGTTAACTGTTCTTCAACACTACAGTCGGTATCCTTTAGCCTTCCAGTACCTTTAATAATGTATACAAATCTTTGGAAAGCCTCCACATTCATTCTTAATAGATTATGACAATGTTCATCACGTTGTGTCAGATAACAATTGTGTTGTGACTTCTCATCATATTGTTCCAAGTAATAAACACCATACATAACAGCCATAACACCAACAAATTGTGCATAAAGAAGAATAATCTCTTTATCATCATCATCATTGTTATCCATCTTCAACATTGAATATTAAGAACATCACAAATAAGAACATGTCATTAAAAATGCAAATGAAAAATATAGACATATAAATGAAAAAGCAAAATCCAATTCAAAAAAAAAAAAAAAAGCACAATAAACTCTTAACATTTTATTTAAATAAGATATCCACATTAGGTGTAACTGTACATATGATCATGAGTGAAGTTTTTATGATCTATCCTTCTTGATCATGAGTGAAGTTTATATGTAAAAGCTCATTGACCGAAGGTTATAATTTGTGATTCATTTCTTTATAATGGGTCAAGTTTTGAAACTAAAAAAATTTAATCTTTAGTATGTATCTAGAACCTATATATAGGTGTAACATATACTAGGGATTAAGTATATAAACTATAAGTTGGTCAAACTCTAAGTTTTCTTTTGAAATAATATAACTACCAGATAAATATCACACAATCTAAAATTAGTTGGAAAGCTTCACAAAATATGTTTGTACAAGAGTGGAGATAATGCTGATTAAGTAATAAATTCGTATGCTAGCAATGCCAAAAAAAAAAACTATGTGCGCAATTTTGAAAGCAAAGTAATACAGAGAATGGATCTTCTGGTATTGAATACATTGGAATGGAGGATGGGCTTTGTTACTCCTTTTGCTTATATTCATTACTTCATCACTAAGTTGTGCAAGGACTCTCTGTTGGGATTTCTCACGATTTAAATCCACTAACAAACACACACAATCGAAGAACAAATCAAGAATATAAAGCAATAAGAAACAAGAAAGAACAAGACACAGATTTTACGTGGTTCGGCAATTTGCCTACGTCCACGAAGCTGCAGGGATTTCACTATTGAGAGAGTTGAATACAGAGAGCGGCTGTACCATCCACAATTAACCCTAATCACCAAAACAACAGGGTTTATATGTCCTACGCACTGGGCTGTATAACGGGCCCAAAAAAAATTAAGCCTCAGAAAATTTTCCATTAAAAACCACACAACATTATTTCGGGTCGGGTCATTATCTGGATCACATATACAAACTAGACTCCATAAAAATAAACCAACATCTCCCTCAAGAAAACATTGGGTCTACAACCGTGGGAACTATCTTGGCTACAATTAGAGATGATTCCAATTTAATGGAGCATAGACCATCTGATATAGCAGTGGCTACTGTATTGGTGGCATTGGATCAGAAATTAACAAGACAGTCTTTAGAGGTCAACATTAATGCCTTGTTTTCAAGTGGATTTCTTGAAATTGAGGATGTGTTTTATTGTTATACTCGAATGCGGAAACATCGAGAAAATTAAATTACCTAGCCATATGATATCCCCAATTTTGTCACCAATACAAATGAGAATGCCCAATGTTATTGAAAATTCTGCCAAACGAAAGAGGCTTAAAATTTTGGAATTTGCATATGCCATTGATTGGGTGTCTCATAATCAACATTGCCAAAGAAAGGAGGAAAAGAAGAGGGGGAAGAGAAATAAAAGCAGGGCTTTGGGTTACATAAAGAGCTGATTTTTTTTCCAAGTACAACAGGCATTGAAGATGGAACTTGAAAGCTGCATTCACTACAGTCAGTCTTCTTGGTTTTTTTATTATTTGTTCAATTTGTTTCATTACTTTCAATCTTTCTTTTATTTCTTTTTGATGTTATAATATCTCTTGCAACCCAAGCTTTTGATGGGTGTGCTTGGGATGCTTTCTTGTGTCCTTGAAAAGGCTGAAAGCAATGAAAAAAAATAGAGAGTATGTTTGTTTTGGGGGTGGGGGGGATATGTTTGTGTGATTCGATGCATCTGTGCTTCATGTTGGCCATCACAAAAGTTTGTAAAGGGGAATTTGATTGGATTTGTTTGACTGTCTGGGGCATTCCTTTTAAGATGGGTCCTACTCTTATCAAAAAAAAAATTGTGCAGAATAACAAACCAAGCAAGATAGAGACAGAAATATGCACATGTACACAAACATGTTAGTTGAGACATTTTATCAAACACCTGGTCTACCTCATGTCTTGAATCATAATCAAATAAAACATTTAACCCAACAATCAATAAAAAAAAAACAGAGAAAAAAGGAAAAAAATTACAATACGTAGCAATTTTAGTACATCGAGCAATTGAAGATGGAAGAAACACTTTCTTATCAGTTGGTTGAGTGGGGTACCAAACAAAAAAAGTTTGCTGAGCAGTCGGCTGAGAAGTTGAGTTACGAGAGGCAGTCTTCGTTCAAGAGTTGACTGAGAAGATAAGTGCCGAAAGGAGCTGTGGTGTGCTACAAATAGGGGCAGACTGGTAAACAGTGACCTGTTTCACGAAAAAAAAAATTTCGTGCAGATTTTGTGGGAAATCAAAAACTACCGAATACAAGAAAATCCGCTGTTGCGGGAATTCCTTTCTGCTAAACAAACGGCAGATTTTTTTTTTTTTTTTTTTCTCTTTTCACCTTTTTCCACCATTCTCTCGCTAACCAAACGGAGCCTCAGGCAATGCTGTTCATGACCTCCTCAATCAATCTTCCTATTGTATTGTACGATGACCCACCCTCCGCCATGGCCACCCCACTTTTCTCTCTCATCTCCTTAACCTTCTTCCTAATTTCACTCTCACCACCCATCATCAATCGCCTTATTCCACCCTCTATTAGATCAGCGCTCAAGATTTCTGGCTTCTTATCCTGGAAGCCCTTGAAATAGTCCATCTTAATCTCCACCGCCATTTCCAGCTCCGTCACCATCTCGAACGCATTCATCTGCTGCTCTGCGTACAGTGGCCAAGTCGCCATGGGAACGCCGCACCACACGCTCTCCAGCGTCGAATTCCACCCGCAGTGAGACACGAAACCTCCGGTCGCCGGGTGGGATAGCACCGCCACTTGTGGGGCCCATCCGATCACTTTCCCGACTTCGGACGTACGTTCTAGGAACCCTTCCGGCAGGACTTCGCCTGGGTTTTCATAGTCGCTCGGAAACTGCATCTTCTCCTTCGGCGGAGGCCGCCGGAGCGACCACAAGAACCGGTGGCCACTGTTCTCGAGGGCTTGAGCTATCTCCTTCACCTGGTCCTCTTCGAAGCATCCCTTGCTGCCGAAGCACAGGAACACAACCGATGATGGAGGCTGGTGGTCCAACCACTCCATGATTGGTCTTGATTGCTCGGTGCGAATATCATCACCACCGTCACCGAGGTTGAGAATGGGCCCCACCGAAAAGATTGGTGGGGTATTGTCACTGTTCAAGAAGTACTCAACCGCATACGATTCCAACTCCATGAATGTATTGACCATAATGCCCTTTGTTTCTCTCAGCCTTCTGGCGAGAGTTATCAACATAGTGGACCCACCTTCTTTATCAACCACCACAGAAGGCAAAACCCTGACCGGAACTGGGTTTTTGAAACTCGGTATTCTCAACTCGGTTTCCGTGTTCTTCAACTCAGTAATATCCTGGTGGTGATCGTCACTGAGAGATTGAAGATGGAGCTGCAGGCCAAGAAAGGCGGCACCCGACGTGAAAAAAGCGTAGGTTGGAACCCCGAACTCGTTCGCCACATCGATCATGGCGGTGCAGAACATATCGATGATGAACCCGGCGAGTCGAGACGATGAGTCGGAGCGAGTGAGTTCGGCGACTACGTCTCTCACAGGAGCCTTGTGACTGTCGATGAAGTTTGCGAAGAAGGTGAGGGGGGACTTGGACTTCGAGGAAGGGTCCTGTGGCTGTGAAGCTGAATCGCCTTGAGGGAGGTGGAGGTCCACGAAGCGTAATCGTGGCGTGGCGGTGGCAGAGAGTGAATTGATGTAGCCGTCGACGCCGGAGTCAATGGGAAGTTTCATGATGAGGACGGTGATGGACAGTCGATGATCTCGATTAAGGAGGAGTTTGGCGATCTCCACAGTCGATAAAAGGTGGCCCACTCCCGGAGAAGGTATGAACACTAACTCTGCGTTCTTCATCTCTGTTTGAGTGTTCGGAATATGGAGTCTATTTTGTTATAGTCTCCGCGCAAGGTTAAGTTTTTCTTTAGAACGACGTTACGAGACCTAATTTATTGATCAAAGGATTAACTGTAGAATTTATTGTATAATAAAATTTTGTGTTGATTTAATGATTTAATAAAAATTAATTATAGAATTTATTAAATATTAAAATTTTATATCGATTCTATTGAAGCACAGGAATTAAGTCAAAATTTTAAATTTAAATAATATTAATTTTTTTTTATAAAAGTACGAATTGTAAACTTTTTTTTGTTCGTTAGCAGCCACAACAAGAACAACTACACAAAAAATCTCAACTTGCACTGCAAAGGAACTCATTAGACAGTCATCCGGTCAACAATTGTTTGAATATTGTAGTTTAGTAGGTCTCGCCTCGAATTACAAACTTCTAGAAAGCTGGTCATCTCTAGGCTCTAGTACAGTAGATCATCCATGTCATCCAAGATATTTAAGGAAAATTATAGTTACATTTTTTTAATTTATTATATTTTTAAAAATATCTTTTTTATTATCAAAAAAATTATTAGCACTTCTTTTAATTTATATTTAAATATCAGTCATTGCCACTAAACTACAATTTCTAATATAAAAAATAATCTAAAAAACTAAAAATACCCCTATATAACCACTAAACAATCATTCTATATAAACTTTTAATCGATTAAAATTTATTTTTTTATATATTAAAATTAGAGTTGATTAAAATTTATTTTTCTACATATTAAAATTTGAACTAATAAAATTCAATTCAAGATTATTAAATTTTAATTTTTGTACGTATTAAAATTCGAACATATTATATTTTTTTTTACATATTAATTCAAGTTGATTTGAGTTCTACCTGAAATGTTAGTGTCGATTAAAATACACTTCGAGCCAATTAAAATTTATATTTTAAGTATTAAATTTTTGTCAATTAAAATTTATATTTTTTATGTATCAAAATTAAGACTGATTAAAATTTAATGCGAGTTAATTAAAATTTGATTTGAACCGATTAAATATTTTTTAATCAACTCGAATAAATTTTAATTAGCTCAAATTTTAATACGTAAAAAATAATTTTAATTAGCTCAAATTAATTGACTTGAATTTTAATACGTAAAAAAATTTTAAAAAAAGAAGAGTTCTTATTTAAGATATGCCTATATTATGGACAATTTAGTAAAATTACATTATAATTAACACTTTTACTCTCACCAAGAGTGTTAATGAAGATTTAAAAAATAGAGTAAGTATCTTTGAAGATATGATAAATTAGAATAAGTGTGGTTAAATTTTTTTAAAATATTTATTAATGATAAATTTCTCATAACTTGATCCTAAAAATTTGTTAAGATTCAAACCATTACCACTTGAACTATCTCTTTGGGTTAACTTGTAATAATATAGTTGACAAGACTTTAGGCGGCTCAATAACCTCTAGTTTGACACGCGTAAAGATGTAGCCGTTAGGCAGCTCAAAAGACGTCGAGATTTGGGGTCGAGAAGTAATGGCTCAGAAGAGCCGAGTACATAAACTGGCACCAACATTTAAGAAGACATGACAGCTCATTAATGGAATGTGAGTAACTAGGATAGGGCTATTAATAAACCCTTGCATCCTCGAGACCCAAAAGCACAATCATGATGGCAAAACATTAATGGCTATCGCACGGAGTATGTTCCCTCGTAGCACACCGAGTTACTCTTCTGCCCACAATAAAGGTTCGAGAATAGGTGTCAACTGCTGATCAGAGGAACTTGATTGCCCCAAGAATAACTATAAGTGCTCAGCGTAGTCCTTGACACTTGTCTTGTCACCAAATCATTAAAGGGAGAGGAATCTGAGCAAAAGACATTTATTACGCATTAAGAAGGATGTAAGTCAATAAATGTTCAAATGTAATTACCTGTATTTGCATTGTTAATTCAAATATAAATACTCTCCAAAAAAGTGAAAGAATGTACGCAAAACTAAATGAGTTAAATAATACATTGTGCTCAAGCTTTCTAATCTTACACTGACTTACGTTTTGGAGAAAATAAATCGAGTGTTCACCCGGTTCCTTTTTTAGTTGTTTTAGGTTCATCAACGAGTGGATCGCTATCTCAATATATTGTAAGAATTCTCCCATGCAATAATAATAGCAAATTGTATCAAATGTTAATGTATTTTGATTTTGGAGGATCACTCGTTAGCCTAATGGCCATTGTAGTACTGTTAGATTATTAAGTTGCGGGTTTGAACTTCACTGTTTAAAAAAATTGCAAAAAAAAAAAAAATGTATTTTGATTTTAATTTAATGATACAAAAAAAATTTCACTCAAATTTTTTTTTTTTTTTTTTATGCAGTCCCCAACTTCAAACAATTCTACCAGCATATTCTTCTGTACCAAATAATCTCTTTAATTCGTACTTACTTTTTTTTTATCTTACATTTTATTTTTTATTTTTTAAAAAATTAAATTACATAATTAAAAAAATAAATTATTATTTAAAATATAAATATTAGCCGATAAGCATGGAGGAGGTGAGGTCAAGCGTGGCTAGCGGCAACTCCACTGTGTGGCCTTTTGTGGAGGCACATGTTTGCTTGTGGATCAATAATGGAAGTGATGTCATTGCTTTGCTGGCCTTGCGATCACTACACCTGCCTAGAAGCTGTAAGAAAAAAAAAAAACACAAAATGTATAAACAGGACTTTACTTATATTATAGCATGTCCAAGGTTAGGTATTTTATACCTGCTACTTAAAATAAAGAACTAAATCACAAAAATTTATTTCAAGGGTTAGCTATTTAACTAGTTATTTTATTTTTGGGACAAATAGCTTTTTACATGTAGAGAGTTTTTTTGGCTAGTTATTTTATATTTAGATAGTCAAATCACTCTTTTTTATATTTCAGTGACCGACTATTTTATATTTTGATGACGTGTTAAATTATGCAATATTTTTGACTTACAATATTAATAGTAATTAATTAAAATAAAGAGTATGGTTAGAGATTAACTTTGTAAAAGTGACTTTTTAAAATAAAGAATATCATATCTATATAATAAAGTAGTTAGAAAATTTGTCTTGAACATTTTGTGACTCAGATCGCTTGATGATTATTGATCCAATTGTCTTAATGCGAAATTTGCTCTCCCAATTTTTTGAACAAGACTTTCATTCCTTCCATAATTCTAAGACTTCTATCTATCTTATATCTCTCTCTTTCTTTTTCTATCTCATACTACACATTAATTAGATCATTAATTATGATTCTATATGATTAAGAATTATTTTTAAAATTTTCAAATAAACAAATAGATTTTAAATACAAATTATTTGCATCAAAACGAGTTGAATGATTATAATATATGTCATATTTTGTATTGAAATAAAAATACTATAATATTCGAATACTATAATAAGAAAATAATATATATATATATATATATATATATATATATATATATATATATATATATATATACACACCAAGGGAGTTAGCACTTTTATCTTAAACTTTTTTGCGGATCAGATTGTTTTAAGATTATTGATCAATTAATCAAAACTATTCTTCCAAATTTTTTTCCTGCCAAAAAATTACAAGAATTCTTTCATTTGACTCAATTATCAGTTCGAAATAATTATGATTAGAATTCAAATTGAACTGAATTTGATTGTCGAGTATAGAACATATTTTTTTGCTTAAACTTAACTTTGCTTGAATTTTATGAGTATTCAAAGTTGAAGTCAAATTAAACTTGATTGTAAAAATAATAAAGAATAATTAAATTTAAAAAATTATGGTGTCACTGTAAACAAGAATAAATAAGAATTAGTTTTGTACGTTAAGATAGAAGTGTTAATTAAGTCGAACTTAAATTTAATTCTTGATTTGATGAAATTATGATTAAAACTCAAATTGAGGTGAATTTGACTGTCAAGTATAAAATATAAATTCTTATTTGAATTTAAATTTGATTGAATTTTACGAATATTTAAGTTGAACTAAAATGAAAATTGATTTTTATTTCTCAATAAAAATTTTTACATTTACGAGAATTCACACGAAATTTTTGAATGTTTTCCTCACAATAGTTACACAACTCACATTAAAAAAAATTGTGCAAAGATAATGTTATGAACTTTAGGTAGAAACCTGCGGAAACACAAATAGTTATAATTTTTTAAAATTTGAGATAATTTTTTTTCAAAATGTTAAAATCGTGAATGTTTGATCAATAATAATTATATTTTCTCATATTTTTTAATTAATATGTTATAGTAGTTGTAGCGTGACTTTCGTTATATAAAAATTTGATTATATATGTTCTACATATAAGTTGTCCAATATCAATTTAATCGTTGTATTGTTCAAATTGTATTATATATTATCTTTATTTATGAACAAATATTTATAATTTTTTATAAGTAACATAATGTCTTCAAGCATGGATAATTAATAATTTTAATATATTTTAACTAGAGCAATTCTATAGAGACCTTATTTTGGGAACATAATGATGTGACTTCAATACAACTATTGGATTAATTGTAAGTTCCAATATTAGATGGAGCCTACAATCAACCCAATGGTTGTACATCATTAAATTCCTAAATCAGATCCAAAAAGCATTTTCCTTTAACTAACTATTTTGAAGAGCACCCTTAGAAATGCTGCAATGCATCGCATGTGTTATATGTGAATAATGTTTGCACACAAAAATTTATAAAATATATTAAATATACATGTATCTGAATTAAATATCATCTCAAATTTACCAAATTTAACATTTATTGCCCATATTATATTATAAGATTATGAAAAATTTGTTTGTTGTCAAAATTCTTTGTTCTAATTATAAAAAAAAAATAAAAAAAAATAGTTAGTGTCCTATTTTTTTAGAATTTTATGATTGAGATTGATTTTTTAGTGATGTTTGAGAAATTAAATTTTTTAAAATTCATTTGATTAGGATTCCACTTATAATTCATTTAATAAAATAAAAGTAATTATAAATATACTAATCAAATTAGAACCTTACTGTAATTATGAATTACTTAGGTCAATTGACATAAGATATAATATACTACTCTATAGTATATATTAGCAAGTATTTTAAAATTTTAAATAATTCAAGTTTTACCTAAAAATATAATACAATATCTTTTTTTTATATAAAATCTTAGTACAACTTAGAAAACTTATTGTGACTGAAGAATTATACTAATATA